ACAGCAAGTTGGTTCTGAAGAACTTGGCACTCAGGTTCCACTCTAAAGGTGCGGTTTCCCTTACTCCCCAGACCTGAAGTTCTCTCATAAATATTTGGAATCAACTAAATGTATACAACCTTTGTAATCAGAGGTGGTGGCTAGAGCCATTTTTTTAATTAAAGTTCTCTATGGAGATCTACACAAGCTGTACTCAATCACTGTACTAAATCTTAATTCTTATCCTCCAGAATCTCAGCACTCCATTCTTTGCTCATGCTGAGTGTATGGAGAATTGTCAATGAAATATAGACAGTGAGATCTCCTCCCAACTTTCATCTATTGTCCAACTGGCAGAGAGAAAAAAATGAAAGAAGAGAAATGACAAGACCCCTCTTTTCGGAAGCAAAATAAACCTGGGACACCAATGTGATATAGCTTGAGGTCAATAAAGAAAAAAAGACTATCCAAACAGAGACAGCTAAGCATTAGGAATTTAAAACGGATTTTGGAAAGTAATAAATGTCTTGGGAAATGTAAGGCAACAATTACCTTGAATCAAAAGAGAGTAGTATTAAAGGAAAAAAGCTGCCCCCAAACAGGATTACATAGCTCAGGAAGATTCTCTACGTATATATAAAAAGAGAAAAGTGGTCAACAGAAAACAGTCAGCAAAGTTACAAGGTTACAATTACAAGGTTGGACCTTTATATTGCTTCAACACAATTTGTTGTAAGTGGGGTTTCTGAATTACAAAAACAATATATTCATTTTATAGGGAATACAAAACTAAGATATAGGTTTCATGGCCAATTTAAGGTAGATACCTCAGCTTAGCCGAACTCCTATTTTGAAGGCTAGTCTCTTTTGGTACAAAGTTACATCCTAAAATAAATTCTAAGAAGAAAAAAAATCTAACATGGGGCAGCTGTGGAAGTAAACTCCATGCAAATTGTTTGAGGTTAGAGAATCAATTGTCATGGAACCAAAAGTAAACCGGGCTTTGTTCTGGCTCCTATTTGGCAGATCCACTTCCCTGATGCTCCAGGTGGAATATTTCAAGGGTATGTTTCTTCCCAGCAAGTAGAATTCCCCTCACCGTTAGTGTGGCTCACTGCCCTTTTCAGGTATTTCTGACTCAAGGCTAGTTTTATATTTACACCTTCAATAGATGTTCATGGGAAGCATTTTTCATGAACAATATACTATCTCTAATCTATAGGCTTTTAACAGATGTGCCCCAAATCAGTGCCTATCTCCAGTCAATAGTCTTGTCACATCCTACTCTAACTTGCTCTCACTGGAATGGGTGAATCAAGATTTGGGGGGAAAAAAAAAATAATTTTGCTAAAGAGAAAACAGGGAACAAGCTTAGATGTTTTTTTCCACCTTTCTGTCTGTCCCCAACACACACAACCTAATGCTCACAACAATTACCCTGATTCTGCAGTTCATCCAAGTCCATGAAGCGGCTAGGATGAGGGTTAAACCCTTTAGCTGCCTCTAACTCCTTCTCTCGTTTTCTTCGAAGTTCCTGTTCTTGCGCCCTCCTGGCCACCTCTTCCTGCAATTCATCCAGTTCACTTTTAGAAGATATCTCCTCACCTGTAATATAAGCAAAGGAGAAGATACGTTACCACATTTCCATTACCAAGACTAAGTACTTGATGAATTTATGACCACTGTAACACTTTCCCTTTGGAATTCTTGCCTTCAATATGGAGCTTATATTTTGGATAATACTTTCCATAATCAAATTCAGGATGTGACTTGGGCTACGAATGATAACAACAACAACATTTATCGAGTGCTTCACAACAACAATGGTATCACACTGAACATTTATTCAACACTTACTATGTGCCAAAAACAGTTTTAAGCATGTTTACATGTATTATTTCATTTAATCATAATAACAACTTATGAAGTAGAAACTATAACTCCCATTTTAGGAATGAGGAAATTGAGTCACAAAGAGGATAATTTGCCCCAGGTAAAACAAATGGGAAATAATGGAGCTAAATTATTATTATTATTATTAATTTTGAGACAGAGTTTTGCTCTTGTTATCCAGGCTGGAGTGCAATGGCGCAATTTCGGCTCACCACAACCTCCGCCTCCTAGGTTCAAGCCATTCTCTTGCCTCAGCCTCCCAAGCAGCTGGGACTACAGGCGTGTGCCACCATGCCCAGCTAATTTTTCTATTTTTAGTAGAGACAGGGTTTCACCATGTTGACCAGGATGGTCTCAATCTCTCGACCTCGTGATCCACCCGCCTCGGCCTCCCAAAGTGCTGGGATTATAGACGTGAGCCACCATGCCCGGCCTAATGGAGCTAAAGTAAAGTTAAGTAGGTTAAATTCATAATCATGCTTTAATCATTAGAGAACACTGACTGACTGGGGAGCTTCAAGCATGTCATTTTCTCACCCTTAATTTCCACCACCTCTTTGAATTTGTAAAATGTCCACAGCAGTAAAAATCCAATTTTATAAACTTTCTTGATGAATCCAAATAGATCTAGAAGGATATCCGTAATAAATTAAGTAAAAAATTGAGTGAGAGAATAACATGTATAATATGACTTCATTTTACTTTTTAAAAATGGTGCTTACCCATATGTGTACAAAAACTAGTCCAGAATTGAGGACTATTCAGGAGATCATGAGACTCAGTCTTAATAGTGTACTAAAAAAATGATAGCTGTCTGAAGAAAAGGGCGAATTGTCTCATGTATGATTCACAAGTTTCTCAAAACAATGTCATTCAACAAGAAATAAATGAAAATGTGGGGAATAAACCAAATGTATAATTACAATGGGAAGCTCAAATTTCTTCCACGTGTCTCTAACTATAATTTACTCGAGCCCAGGATTCCAGTGATATCTGCCTAGCATCGTTCTGCTCTGCCGGATTGTCCACAATCTTTAGTATACGTATCTAAAAGGGTTCATGCCTTTTTATTACTGCTGCTGCAGGCTTTTCTTCCTGCTACTTCTAAGAATTTTCAGTAACTATCAACAGAACTGGTAATAAGACTAAGACATTTAGGCAGGGATAAGAATACATTTTAATCGCTTATTTACAAGTTTTACAAATAGCCTACACGTATCCCTATGGTATGTCAGTTCATAGTACTAAACAATAAGAAACCTGTTTCCCAAGAGACTGTCCCTAAACCAAGGAAAGCCCTAGAATTTATTCTTCTGAAAAATGGAGCTTTTATTAACACTGCTCCCCATATTTCTGTCCCTTCTTTCTCCCACAAGGGCTCTCTCCAAGTAAAAAGAAATAGGCAGGCTGTAGTGGAAAACAAAAAACAGGTAAATCCAAAAATGGAGCAACTGTCATGACTCTACATCTACATTCTGAGGCAATACCCAAACTATTACTGTCCTCTAATTTCAGAAGTGCTGTTAAGGCTGGTCCCCAGACAAAACTGCTGGTCAAATCCAATCCTCACATCCAGTGTCCTTCTGCTTACCTGAGAAAGGCTTACTCTTTGTCCAGCCACCCATGGATGCTGTGGAGTCTACCTCCAGGATGCTACTGCTATGCGACTTTGGGATGTGACGCCAGGAAGGGACCAACCCAGCTGGTCTCTTAGCACTTGAATCCCTTCAAAAGAAAACCCACAGTCTAGTGAAAGCATGACAGGGTGTTATAGCAACATTCCTAGGACTAAATAACTCAAAAAACAAACATCAAACTAATATAATTAGAGCTCCTGCTAAACTACTTCTAAAGAATTGAAACATCCATTCATTCTCCTATCTAATCTCATCTCACCTCATTCATATCTTGTATATCTAGCACAGTATCTAGTACATAGTACATGTACAAAATCTGTTGAACGTATTAATGTACATACTGCTGTCCTATCTATTGCATTCTTTCTTACTAAACCTTTGTAACATCTTCTCATAAGTAAAACTCAACAGGATCCTGTGGACAGTGAAGAACATTGGGAGAGTATGAAGATGCCGTTATCATCTTTGTAGAAGACATAATCATTCCTTTCAAAGCAGCTCAACTATTAGAAAATTGCCTCAGCTGGGCAAGGTGGCTCACATCTTTAATGCCAGCAACTTTGGGAGGCCGCGGCAGGTGGATCATGAGGTCAAGAGATGGAGACCACTCTAGCCAACATGGTGAAACACCATCTCTACCAAAAATACAAAACTTAGCTGCGCATGGTGGCATGCACCTGTAGTCCCAGCTACTTGGGAGGCTGAGGTAGGAGAATCGCTTGATACTAGGAAGCAGAGGTTGCAGTGAGCCAAGATTGCGCCACTGCACTCCAGCCTGGCAACAGAGTGAGACTCTGTCTCACATAAAAAGAAAAGAAAAACAGAAACTGCCTCTGTGGCAACTCAGTAAAAATAATGTATGGATATCTGAAATTTATAAAGCAAACTGAGCTTTATGGGCAGGGTGTAATGAGTGTTAATTAACTGTCATCACTATTATGAATAGTATTAGCTTCATAAAACACAGAGTCCCAGTGACTCTAAAACAAAACAAAATAAAAACTATCCCAACTGGGTGTGGTGGCTCACACCTATAATCTCAGTACTCTGGGGGGCTAAAGTGGGTAAATCACTTGAGCCCAGAAGTTCAAGACCAGCCTGGGCAACATGGTGAAACTCCATCAATATAAAAAAAAAAAGGCAGCAACAACAACAAAACACTATCCCAAAGTAACATTTATGTTTCTTCTCTGATTTTAGGATTACAAAAGTTTTAATTCACTAATCCATTATGTAATAAATTTTTTACTGTATATATTTAAGATATAAAACATGATGTTATGAGATACATAGGGATAGTAAAATGGTTACTATAATTGAAGGGCGTTAACATACCCATCATCTCATATAGTTAACCATTTTTTTGGCTTTTGTGGCAAGAGGAGTTAAAATCTACTCATTTACTATGAATCTCATAGGCAGCACAATTTCATTAATCATAGTCCTCATGTTTTACATTAAATCCCTAGACTTGCTTATCCTACATATCTGAAAAATATGGAATGCTTCACAAATTTTTTGTCACCTTTGAGCAGGGACTATGCTAATCTTCTCTGCATCATTCCAATTTTAGTGTATATCCTACCAAAGCAAGCACTAAACAATTATTTCATCATCCTTAGCAAACTAACACAGGAACAGAAAACCAAATACCTCATATTCTCACTTATAAGTCGGAGCTACATGATGAGAACATATGGACACAGAGAAGGGAACAACAGACATGGGCCTATCACCGGGTGGAAGGTGGGAAGAAGGAGAAGATCAGGAAAAATAATTAGTGGGTAGTAGCTTAATATGTGGGTAACAAAATAACATGTACAATTAACTCCTATGACACAAGTTTATCTACGTAACAAACCTGCACATGTACCCTCTGAACCTAAATTTTTAAAAATTATTTTATACATGATAACTGTACTTCAAATAGAAAGTTCTCTCTCCTTTCTCAAGTGCCTTTGTTCTTCCTCCCAGAAGAGGGTGCTGTTGTTGTAGAAAGTTGACAGCACATAGAGAGATGGTAGCAAAGGCCATCCCTCCACTTGACTAAGCCATGCCTGAAAGCCCCAAGTAGGTGGCTCACGCTGCAGCAAGGGATAATGTCACTGTTCAAAGGCCAAATAATACCTGTAGACATTTGAGCTCTCAGACAGGGCTGCATCCAGGCTGACAGGGCTGCTGCTGTTCCTCTCACTGCTTTCATAGCCAGATTCCATTCGCTGGATTAGTCGGGGCTGCTGCTCTAAAAGGTGAGAGCCTGGCCGTGCTGGGCCCCAGCGCTTGTACTGGGGGCTTGATCCACCAAATTTAATGTCATAAGCAGGTGGCTTGCTTGGTTCATCTGGTGTAAATTCTTTAGCTATCCCAATCAAAAGACAGTTATGGAAAAGGAGGTAGATTTAGCATTTGCCTAAAATCAAGACCTAACTCACTCCTCCCTCTGGCTACTTATTTACTGAACTCATCTTCCTAAAACACCCAACGTCAGAGTAAAAATGCCCCTTGCCAGATTTACCAGAAAACCCAGGTTTTAAAAAGACATAAATAAACCTTATTCAAAAGCCCAATTCTTCCCTAATTATCTCCTCACCTGAATCCTCAGAAAAGGGACTAAGCTGGGTATAGCCATAGTGCTTCCTTTTGTCCTTACTAAAGATACTGTCAATATTCAGAGATTCTCGTTTGGGTCTCCATGTTGGACGATACTTGCTGGAAGAACTGGATTTTGACTCACTGCTGGTACTCTCTATTTCCCAGTCATGAGAGTGTAAAGGCAGGGTCCTAGGAGGTTTTTTGTCTGGTTGGTCTCCTCCCCTACCTCCACAGTGAGAGCCTACATTGGTCTGAGAAGTCAGGGATGGTCTGTTATGGATCATATTGCTGACTGTCTCTTTAAAATCCCTCAGCCTGTTGGTGCTGCTGGATGGTTTGGAGGCATTCCTAGGAGCCTGCTTCTCTTTCAGTGTTTCTCCTAAAAACACAAAGAATGAAAGAAATATAGATATTTAAAGTGATCATAGATAACAGACCCCAGAGTTGAAAAAGTAAAGTCCTTTGAGCAGAAAGGAGAAGCCAACAGTCTGGAGCATGAAGAAGTTTGATAGAGTGAATGAAGAAGAAAGAGAATCAGTGCAGAGGGGCTTGCCTTCACTGTGGTATCCTGAGGCCTGAGGCTCATCGCCTTTCCTCCTAACCCGACCAGAGCTCCTCTTTCGTTCTATCAGTGACCCTTTCTTGGATGTATGTTTCTGATTACATTCACTATCAGTCAGGTGTCCTGAAAAAAACAAGGACATTGAGGTAAGCTGGTATCTGAGACTGACCTTCATCCTCCCAAGAACCTACCTAATCTCCCTTTGGGAGTGCCACAAATTTAGAGTACCCATGGAACAGAAGCTTTAGGACATAGGCTATCTATGTCCTAGGTACTCTCAATGTAGGATTTCAGTGTAGGAACCTCCCAGTAGATAAATGCAGAGAGGGGCCAGGCACAGTGACTCATGCCTATAATTCCAGCACTTTGGGAGTCTGAAGTGGGCAGTCAGGAGTTCGAAACCAGTCTGGCCAAGATGGCATAACCCTGTCTCTACTAAAAATACAAAAATTACTTGGGCGTGGTGGCATGTGCCTATAGTCCCAGCTACAGTCTGAGGCATTAGAATCACTTGAATCCAGAAGGTTGCAGTGAGCCAAGATCATGCCACTGCACTCCAGGCTGGATTACAGAGCAAGACTCTGTCTCAAAAAAAAAAAAAAAAAAAAAAAAAAAGGATAAACGCAGAGAAGCTGGGAGCATCAAAATTTACAATGTCTCCTGAGCAATGACCAATCTTAATCCCACTCATAATCTTCCCCAGTGACCCACAAGGAAATAATGACATGTTTCTAGGTAATTTTTTAAAGGCAAAAGTTTTAAAGATCATATTAAAAATATCAGGTAGCCATATACTTTCACTCTCATAAACTGAAGAGAGTTTTCCTTTCATTTATTTAGTGACACATATCAAGTGAAATCTGATTTTCAGTACATCTGGTGTTATCCTGTATACTCCAGATTTTGCCCGCAAGAGTTCTGATTATATATGGTTTTAAGACTCAGTTATAAGCTTTCCTTAATTGTGGATAATTTAAAGGACATTTCAACTTTGATTAATTCTTATTCCTATCCCCTATCCATGCTATACAAAACTTGGCTCCATCCAGAGATTACACTTCCTATTTCCTTAATATTAATCACTGGGAAACCCAGGAGAGCTGGGCTGTTTTATGTAACTTGCCCTGCTTCGTGCCCACAGTATGCAAATACATGAGTATGATTTGATGACAGCAAAGGTCAGATTCTAAAGGATATAATCAACTAAAGTGCTAGAAGCCAGAGATGAATTAAGCAGGTAAATTAAGTTTAAAGATATGAAAAAAAAAAAAAATACCCTAGGTCAAATGCATAGAGAGCTAACAAAAACTTGTTTTCACATGATAGTATATGAAAATCCTTATACATATTCAGGTATCACCAATGTAGTGATATGAATACATATTTTTAATCAGTTGCTCCTTGGAATCTTGTATTGCTTTTATTTGGTCCTTTGCTACCTCTTTGCCCACAAAAAAGAGTTAAGAGAGAAGAAAATGACTTAGAACAACTAAGTCTTACAAATGTTAAACCAATGGGCATATTCTCCATTCCTCCCACCCTCACTACCAAAACCCCTAAATCATTAACACAAATCTGCCTCTACTGGAAGATAAGCTTAGTTCATCCTATGGTTTGGCTTCTTCCTGGTTCACAGTTTCAAAACGAGGGTCTAAAAAACTCACACCTGACACAATCAATGTAGTAGTCATCAAAAGAAAGCCAACACAAATCTTATCAAACCTCTAGGTCCAACTACCAATTTACAAGAAATACAGGACATAGAAACATGTTAAAGCATACCATAGGAATAAAATCAGCAAAATTCAGAATGTGGGAAATCTACAGGACAAAATGCCTAGTTCTAGCAATAAATTGCAATTAAAAAATAGAGGAAAAAATGTAGATTGAAAGAAATGTAAAAGACTTATCAACTCATCACAATGCATAGACCTCACTAAATGCTGAGTCAAACACATAAACCATGAACATATTATGACATTTATAAGTGAATATTTACTCATTTGTTACCTAGCAGTTTTAAGGAATTATCATTACTATTTTTAAGTGTTATAATGCTACATTTAAAAAGTGATTTCTTATGTTTGAGCAACAGATACTAAAATACTTATGGAAAATGTGATATAATACCTGGGATGTGCTTCAAAATAATCCAGGAGTGGGTAAGGGTAGAGGTAAAACTAGATTGGCTGTGAGTTGTAATTATTGAAACTAGGTGATGGGTACACAAATGGGCAGTACACTATTCTATATAGTTTTGAATATCTTTGAAATTCTTGATCTTAAAAAAAAAAAAAAGCCCCCACAGCTTATATAAACCAACCACCAATCTCAAACAATGAGCTCATGAATGCTTACAGTCCCTAAGAGTATGGACACTATTCTATGCCTTAGGTATTCTATCTCCCAGAATAAACTTTTCATCTCAGCAGTCATTTGTTGTTCTTCCTTGCATTGATTTCTTCCTCTAACATGGGCATATTCTCCTACTGATAAACAAAACAATTCAAAAATATTCTCTGTATGAAATTCACAGTAACAAATAGATTATCTTTCATTCTTTTGCTTCTCTATCCTTCAGGAAGCTTAGCAAGCTGACATGCAGTTGTCCCTCACCAAGCCCATAAATAGACCCCTTCTATCAAAGCTCTTCACTTAGGACAAAGCCTGGCATGAGAACATGATGACATGTAAGACCACAAGGGTTTAATGGGGTACCATGAGAATCAAGAGGATAAGAGAAGAAAAGCAGACTTCAGAATAACCACATCGATAATCACATTACAATCGTCTTTATTGACATGCTATTGACAGGAGTATGTCCAATGGAGCATCATTGTTCATTCAGAAATGTGTTGCTTCTTGTGTATCCCATTCAGTTGCCCAAATTCTGTGCTGTTCTGGCCTTTGCATAACAAACATTTCTGACTTTCCCCAGTTTCTTTCTCTTAGGAGACTTTCTATGCAGGAATTGATTCAGGCAAGCAGGATCCTTTGTATAAGTCCCTACCTGTGTCCCGACTGCTCTGAGACATGGAATCATTCTCCACATTATAGATGACTGTCCCCTGAGAATCAGAAGAGAAGTGACTGACCACAGATTCATGGTGGGAATGTTTGTAGGGATAGCTCTCCGTTGAGGAATCTGTTCGAGTGTCACTTGAGATGGAGGGCTCCCTCCCTGAGGGAAGGAGGAAACATACATGCAAAGAGTGAGGAAAAAGAACAGTGGCTGAGAGAAGGAAAAGAGATGGACACAACAAAGCTCCATAAGGCAAGAACTTCCTAGATGCAAGTATGAGAAGGATATGCAATACCATTGAGCCATCCTTCCCAACACCCAACTTCCAGATCACCCAGACACGCATAAAATTCCTCCCATCCCTGTCCCTACCTTGCTGAAGCCCTCACTTTGCCTGCCACTGTGAAAAAATGTGAGGGTC